AAGGTGCGCTAGGGTGGGTACCTAGCTGTCGCCTATTGCAACAAGCACACAGTTAATAAATGAAAAAATGCCGCCTCTGAGGCGAGAAGTGTGTGTAGGATTCTACTTACAAAACAGGAACCTGCCTACGAGCACAACACTACACTAACACTAAACTACTGCACTATTTGCACAAGATATAAATGGCAACCGAGGTTGCGAGTGGCGTCTAATTCGGGTGGCATGTGCCCTCCGTCTTAGAGAGACGTCCGTTCCGTACGAGAGCACGAAGCGGAATGACCGAAACTTTAATAGTAAAGTTAGTTGCAATTCAGCAAAAAGTACGACGGGTAATGAATCGCAAAAGTAGTTCTTAGGATACTATAAAATTAAGTATATGTAATGATACTGTAGACTATGTAGGTGGTCTCAGTCAAGTGATGACCCCGTGGCGCAGTTGCCAAGGTGTTAATTTCGGCGTCGAGGGTCGCGGGTTCGATTCCCACACGAGACAACTATTTGTGTGACCCACAGATAGTTTATGTCCTTACAACACAGGATAATGTTATCCTAAAGTAAGGGTAATGTTTTTAAAAAAATATATTATATTATATGTTAAATATTAAATGGAATATCATAATTACCATTAGATAATGACTGAGACGCTGTTAGTGCGACGACGTCGTTAGATGAAGTTTCAAAAGGTGGAAGAAATAAAATTGCTGATAACTGACAAAGATAACCACCATATTCTAGACTTATTTTACATTCAAACTACACTCTGCTAGATATATCATGACAGTCAATAGACATTTTTGTTCATTAGCGAAGATCAAGTTATAATACAATTAAGAACGTAATATACATAAAATAATTTGCTAATTTAATTTTGATTTCGTATTACGAAAACTGTCTACTTTTCTTAAAACTCACCTTTAAATGTATTTAATTCTGGTTAAGAACTTATTGCTGCCTTCCGATGCGGTATATGTATACCTCCTGTATGTCTGATTCACATTTTGGCGCTTTCAAAGGGAAAATTACAATTAACAGTGTTAATTAATCAACTGCGATACACACAGGGCGGGTGGCATTAGATCGGAGCCATCACTCGACCTAACCCAGACTCCCAGTGTTCGCGGCACTAATTAATATGACTTGTGTATGCACATGTCGTGTTCAATTAGTGGCCTGCCCGCTCTGTGATATGCCGCCACTTACATTGCGGACTTGGGGGCTTATAGATATTGTTATTAAAACTAATATCTTCGATCCAAAATATGTGCGTATTTATTTATACATAATTATCTTAGTATGTATTACGTATATTGGATTCTTAGTGTTCTTTTTATGCTGTATACGTTTTGAGTAATGTATTTATCATATGCATATATAATATTGTTTGTAAATATCAGCGTTTTTTTTTTGATATCTTTATGAGCTTTTACCTAATTTTCTCTGTACCTTCTCTAGTCCCAAACTAAGCAATGCTTGTACTATGGGTACTAGATAACTGATAAACATACTTAAACACACTTTTCTTTTGTAAATAAGTACATATCATAGATATATAAACACTCAGACACTGGAAAAACACTATGTTCATCACAAAATATTTTTCCAGTAGTGGGGATCGAACCCACACCCTCTGGCGCAAGATCATATACCATTTACCATAGGCCAGTCGGATCGTCACAAATACCTTCGGTATTGTAATAATTTCAGCATAATTTACTCAATGGGTAATAAAAAATTTTATGGTGCTAGCACAAAGATGAATAATTAAAATTTGTAGAACAATGGACGAATAGTTTTTCGCCGCCGCGGGAATTGAACGCGCATCGCGTCTAGACACTCTAACCACTGAGCTAAAGGACTAATAAATTTCAGCGTATTTTATCTACTTTATCTTTTCATGTTTTAAGCGAGAGCCATTCAATGTAATGTTAGAAAATACACTTACATTCGATCATTATTTTCCAAGTTCAGATTGTTCGCGGTCACAGAGTAACTACTCAATGTTTGCAGAACTGGTCGAAACGACACCGTCGTATACTAATTCAGCGCGGGGCCCCCGGTTCAATCCCGATAATTAACCGCGCTTTTGTACCAGTTTCGTGGTTCGATGGAAATCTATGTGGAAACTGTAATTAAAGACTACGGTAATTAATAACGTACGCAGATATGATATATTTTGTAAACGTCATTTTTGTATTGGATGAGATTTGATGACTTCGTGGCGCAGTTGCCAAGGTATTGGCTTCGGCGTCGGGGCTCGTGGGTTCGATTCCCACACGGTACAACCATTTGTGTGTGACCCACAGATAGTTGTGTCGCATCTGGGTGTTTGTCTACGTGAAATGTATGTTTGTAAAACGCCCTTACAAAACACGATAATGTTATCCTAAAGTAAGGGCAATGTTTTTTAAAAAACAAAACAAAAACAAATGTTGTCTGCCTTGTACTATATCGCTGTGCGTAAAATTTGTAATAATATTAATTAGTTAGTTACTTCGCTGTATTCGCACGAGAGCTAACAAAGAATATTCGATATCGCTTGCCGAAAAACCGTTTTGGATGATCAAAGAAGATAAAATATCGTTATGACCTCGTATTGACTGTTGGGTATCTTGCCGGTTTCTTCTCAACAGAAACTGCTTTACGGTACTGGTAACTTACGAACGTATTAATTTTTATGTAAAATTTCGACGCTTCATAAGAACGGGCAAGCGTCTATGTGTGCGAATTGTGGGCGTCATTTGTACATTGAATTGTCTTGTTTATTAAATAAATAAATAAATATTTAGGACACATTTTTACACAACATTTTCAGTCCCAAACTAAGCAAAGCTTGTACTATGGGTACTAGAAAACTGATCAATATACTTAAACATATTTTTCTTTTGTAAATAAATACATATATAAACACTCAGACACTAGAAAAACACCATGTTCATCACACAATATTTTTCCAGTAGTGGGGATCGAACCCACACCCTCTGGCGCAGGAGGCAGGTACACCACCCACAACGCCATTCGGTCGTCAGTTATTGAAGTCGTATTGGCCAATAATCCAATATTTATATATAATCAATAATTTGGTAACAATGAGGTTTGTAACGTTCTTCTACGGGGCCGTGGTACTTTCCCGGATGAGCCTTCGTGGAATAGCGTTGTGTCAATACCTTTATTATTTTGCAGTTAATTGCGCAAGAGGGAGACAGAAGACAATTAAAGCGCAACAAACCTTTACCCATTCTTGTATGTTTCACCCGAGGGTTTCCAGATGCGTTGACAACCTTTTTGGAAATTGGGCTCCGGCTACCTCACTCACCAGACGAAACGCGAAAGTTTTTGTCATACTTCCACTTTACGCCGGTCTTCTGTGAGGTCGTGGTACTTACCCGGACCAGCCTGCCCATTCGTGCAACAGCCGAGGCTACTGCGTATCTGCTTTAATCATGTATTATGTATATTCCTATTGCGGCACCCACGTAGTATAGGTTTCCTTTACGCCATTGGTTGCCTGGTCGCTATGAAGCGATAAGGTCGCCAAATTGTAAAAGTAAAGTAAAGTAACAACCTATACATGTCCCACTGCTGGGCAAAGGCCTCCTCTATACAGAGGGTATCAGGGCATAGTCCACCACACGGCCCCACTGCGGATTGGCGGACTTCACATATCTTCGAAATAATTTTTTTTTGTTATTATTTCGAAAATATGCAGGTTTCCTCACGATGTTTTCCTTCACCGCGGAGCACATGATAAGACAGCACTTAAAGTTAAAAACTTCATTGTTGCCGGCACCGGGGATCGAACTCAGGTTGCTCGAGTATTATGAATTAAAGGCGAGCGCCCGGACACTGAGCTATCACAATTCAAGACTCACTGAGCTATAACGCCAAATTGTACATTGCATTAATTATTTATTACTGTAATTAACAAGTGTATTCATTCATTTATTCATATATCCATAGAATGCGGACTTACAGCAGACTACAATCAAATAGACCGCTTGCTCTTGACAAAAGATCTCTTATTGCTAACATTAAACTTTATCCATTCAATTTTATTTATGCAAACGACTACGGAAGTAAAACCCACGTTGCGGGAGATTTCTGAGAAAATGAAACCCAAACTCGCAACCATTATATATATGGATCTTTTTCCCGCGTGAGAATTGAACATGCAAAAGTCACGAAATACTTATCGCCCACGTCATGTAAAGAAACTACCAGTTTTCAACCTAATGTCCTCTACCGTTGCAGCCACCTTGATCATGTAGTCCGTTCTCCCCTGACGCTGTATATATTTATGCATACAATAGTACATAGGTACGAACTCGTAAACGCGGTGACTCAAAGCTTCCTAGCCCATTCTACCAACCCTCCTATAGTAGCCGGCGGGGTCGGCGAGATCAAAGCGCCAGTGACGTATCTGGGCACCCTTCTTAATGAGGCCTCCGCTATGGCCCGATGTTTGCTAGCGTCTCGCATTTTGCTCGCTTCCCGTCGATGTTTGATGTCACATTAGCGGGTAAACACTTGTTAAAAACATAACCGTGATTAATTGAACGTTTATTTAAAAACTATAACAGACCATAAAGCAAACAAAGGCTCCCGTGCGTTTGCTGTTTTTTCGTGCGCGTCTCTATTTGCTGTCAATCTATTGAATGTATCCTTTAAAATAATATAGTATAGGAATTAAGAAGTACAGTAATGTAAGTGTCCTTATTTGAAGAATTCTATAATTTTCCGATTTCTGGAAATAGACGATTTTTGTAATAGGTTCCATTGTGTTCGTTATTTACGAAACTACTAACGCGATGCTATTGTGTATATGCAAACTTACAGGCATTATAAGCGTGCTCAAAAGTAAACCATCACGGCACTTAAGCCAGGTTGTTATTTTTTTTATTTGACGGATATTATGAAAGGAGCACGCTAGAAGTAAAGAAGATATGGATTACGCATAAAGCGATTCAGATGGCATTACAGGGCGTTACCGCCATAGCCTGACCATGACAACACGACCGCGCACTCAGCGCAGCAAAACTGACTTCCTCGCCAGCACACCAGTTAGCTGCCACTAACTATTCAGATATTCATATATAGCTTCATAACTATTAAAAAACGGAATAAAAAATATTTAAGTGTACCATACAACACATGATTTTTTAGTCCTTTTTATAGATAATGGTACGGAACTCTTCACGCGCGTGTCCGACTCGAACTTGGCCGGTTTTTCTTAACATTACGCCTAAATCCTCTGGATTCAATCTTGATTTATAATTTCTTTTTAATGCATAAAACGGCCACAAACTTTTCGTCGATTTTAGGACTATACTATCCGAATTCCTTTAGATTTTTGCCGATACGACACTTCTGGCGCTCGCAAACTATTCCGTGAGCGCTAAGTAAGTAGTAGAAACCTGTTGGTGTCTTGCTCGTGTCGTCCTGAAAATCAATACGAGGGTACGGAGGCAGCCTCCCCCCTCCGCCTCCTCCCGCTGCCCGCCGTCCTTCCACACCTTGAGTTACGGCTTTTAGGTCATCCTCTCCACGTACGTATGTACCTCTTTTTATAATCACATCAGATAATCCACTTACATTAACGCGTGGTTGTAATCTAGCTTATTATGTCAATGCACAAGTCTATGTTTTTATTAGCGAGAAACAAAAGTGACATAACACTCGTCTTAACAGCTCGCTGTGTAATCATTTCATAATTGATTTTCAGCAGTTCCCTGAGTATCTCCGGAGCCCAAGATCATTTGGATTTTACCAATAAATCTGGCGTGGGACCTCATGGGAAGCACCAGCTTTAAAAAAAATAGAATCATCAAAATCGGCTCACTCGTCGAACGTTCTAAGGTGGTAAACATAAAAACATACAGTCGAATTGAGAACCGCATCCTTTGTTGAAAATGCCACAATTCAGTCTAGAATATAAAGCTAGAACCGGTTAAATAAACAAGAGCTTCATTCTATATTATACAGTTTTACAAGAACCGTGTCTTTTTAATGAATGGATATTCAATGAAATATGTGATGTAATAGAATTACATATATCTTTATATATGTAATTCTTCTGTTCGCGTGTATGTGACTGAACTCCTCCTAAACGGCTGGACCGGTTTTGATAAAATTTCTTGTGTGTTCAAGTGGTTTTGGGAATGGTTTAGATTCACAATTCGTCCGGGTAAGTACTACGACCTCACAGAAGACCGGCGTGAATTGGAAGTGCGTTTCATCTGGTGAGTGAGGTAGCCGGGGCCCACTTTATTATGTGGCGGCAACGGATCTGCAACTCTACGGTTGTTGCAATTGTCAATGGGCGGCGGTTATCACTTTCAGGTGAACTGCCAACTCATTTGACACTTTTCACATAAAAAAAAAACGAATCAGTCATGGTTCGATGTAGTAACAGGGTTTCTTCATAGAGTCCCTAAGTCTGCATACTCCCAACCACTGGCAACTGACAACTAATGCCATTAAGAAAAAGTAGTGGAAGTATACACTTCCAACTTGTATAATGGTTAGCGAGTTGAGCTGGACGAACCCTTTCGAAGGGACTGGACCTCACGTAGATGTTCATAGGCCACGGAGAGAACCATTGAGCCCAACTCGTTACCACAACGTGATGGCGCGCCGCAGCCTTCGGGCATAACTGGCAACCCTACAGCCAATAAGGATGTAGAGGCGTCCGCGGCTCCGCGTGGCGTTTTTCAGGCGATGGAGCAATTAGGGCGGGCGGCGCCCTACGTCATTGGACGGGGTCACGACCCCGCGGCGACGCGATTGGCTGACACGGCCCACCTATGTATCGACCTTTGGCCCAGCTCGCTCTTAATGCGCGTCGAGGAGCGCCAAGCGACTCAATGGAAGACTCAGAGCTCATACAAGCTAGAGACTAGCAACGCCTATCGAAGGCTTCAACGGTGACTTAAAGGTAAATTGCAGCTCATTAAAGCATGCACATTTAACAAACGAAACATAATATTTTTATTTCCGTTTTGTTGAGGGGTTGGGTAGTAAGTTCCAAAGACCACTGCGATCTAGAACATCTATAGTAGTCTTCCCTGCGAATATCATACAGACAACAGTCTGTATGATAATACTATCCTCTGTTGTAAGGACGTTTAGCATGCGTAAATTTCACGTGGAGAAACAATCAGATCCGAAACAGTTATATACAGTATTCAGTACAGTTATTACGTAAGTATTCGTTTCTACAAAGATTTCTGTGTCGAAACGAATACTTATGTCATCTGGATTCGAACCCAAATGCCCACCAAAACCCCGACACAGTTCACTTGAAATAGTTTTTTGAAAAGTTCTTGTAAAATTATGTACCTATTATCTTTAAACCCCACTAAACGAATAATCTATATCTATACATAATTATACAGATAAATAAAATTGGAGTGTCTGTTTGTAATATTAAAATAACAGCTTTTTACAAAATGCAATGTATACACGGTACATATACCAATATATTTTTTTTACAAATTTTGTCTCTCTGTCTGTCTGTTTGTTTCGACTAATATCTGAAACGGCTGGACCGATTTGGACGGGACTTTCACTGGCAGATAGCTGATGTAATAAGGAGTAACTTAGGCTATTATTATTTTAGGTTTTTTTCTTATTTAAAATTCCACGCGGACGAAGTCGCGGTCACAGCTAGTAAATAATAATACTCATTTGCGCCGTCTATCGTGATATACGAGGGAGCCTTTTGAAGGAACCAAGAAGGAAGATAAAAAGCCAATACTATTTTCGTTTTCAATACCCGAAAAACAAACACAAACCTTCCAATTGGGTAAAACCTTCAATAATGTATTTATTTTCCTTTTGTCTGTGTGTGTGCGTGTGCATGTGTTTCTGAAAAATACGCCGAAAATGCATCCTTCTACTCCATCGCTTGATAAACTTTGTTAAACTTTTTAGATGGTTTTGTTCGCATTGTAGTTCTTTTACCGCACCAGATTTGATGCATTGTATTCTACGGTTAAAGAAACACCTTTATTGTTTTAATGTCAATGGGATTCGTTCCTACTCTCAAAAGACGTTTTCAACTAGTTTTACGGCCTTCTGTGAAACTTGAATAAGCATATAACCATACTAGCTGCTGCCCGCGACTACGTCTGCGTAAAATAGGCTGAATGCCGATATAACATTCAGACAGAAAGACATATATACATAAAAAATGTATATAAATTATAGCCTATGTCTGATGTATAAGCTATATTATTGTAAAGTTTCGTTGAAATCCATTCAGTAGCATTTGCGTGAAAGAGTGACAAACATCCATCCATACATACAAACTTTCGCTTTTGTAATATTAGTAAGGATAGATCAGGTTAAATCGAACTCGCTGTGTCATAAAACACATTAAACTTATCTCTAATTGAACAAAATTGACGCATCAAACGTATCTTTCTCTTGACTATAAGCAATCATTTCTGTTGCGACAGATAACTTTTACAAAACAAAAATCGTGCTGCTTACAAACAAAAAAAAAAAAAACACAAAGCAAAAAAGAAACACATAACTCGCGCCGATAGCAGCGTCCCGAGAGTGTATCAAGGAGCGTTAAGCTTTCCCTATCATAACAACGATATATCTTACAACACGTCATCATTCCACAGGCGATATGTTCGATCCCCTGGGAGCGGTCTCGACGTGTCCAAGTTTTTTCGGCGTTTTGTGGAAACGCATAAACGCGTCGATGGACTGAGATAATGGCTTTGACGATAAAAGCTCCTTCCATACTTTATCTGAGCGCCTCACTCGCGCCAATGTTCGTAAAGTTCTTATTGGACATCTTTTTCGCATCTCACGTGATTATCGACGTGTTATTTAGATTGGACCGACACTTTCAAATCGTTATTACTGTATACTCCAGATTAGAACAGTAAGACTCGAGAGATAGTGTCACTTGAAAAGTGAACTTATGGCTAAGGATTATACCATTGCGGAATAACTTGACAACGCCAATGTGTGGGGTTAGTACTGTTGATACTCACGTAGGCTTAAATAAGACATATTTATTCTATTATATTGTAAACTAATCGTTTTAAAAAAGAGCAACTGTTGAGTTTCTTGCAGATTTCTTCTCAACGGACACTGCTTTCCGAACTAGTGGTAACTTACGAACGTATTAATTATTAAGTAAAATGTTGACTTTTCATAAGAATGCGCAAGCGTCTATGTGAATAAATATATTTTGATTTGATTTGATAGGTATTCATGTTTACATGTCAATAATCGCAAAGACGCCACGTCTATATAAGAGAGTGATCTCACCCGCGCATCGGCGGAGATAAGGGGCGAAATAAACAATCACTCGTTTATTGCGCGCTATCGTAAAACCCTTATCACCGTGGTCCACAACTGAGGCGTCTTTGATATCGTAGCTATGGAATATGTTCAGAAAGCTCTCGCGAATTGGTACCTCACATTCTATTTAATAATCTACTATAAGACAGTTAAAGGTGACCAATCAAAGGGATGCCTTTAGGGGTCGAATTGATATTTTACCATAACGTAAATATCGCTCACTAACGTGAAGGACTTAAAAAAAAAAAAAAAAATAAGAAGTCGTGAAAATAGGATGTGATGTGTGTGTTGAATGAATAAATGAACAGTTCTCCGTCCTTTGACCAATAAGACACAAAATGCTGTGTAAGTCATTGGCTTCGGCGGGTCAGAATTCGATTCCCACTCAGGACAAGTATTTGTGTGACCCACAGATAATTCCGAATCTGGGTGTTCATTTCCAAGAGGTTTGGAAGGCTGCCGGTCGCAAAAAACATAGCTAAAAGCACTGACAACATTATTCACATGTTGTTCCGACCCCACCTAGGTGAGGTAAGGGCAGGAAGATGATAATGATGGGCGCTCGCCTTTAATTCAATATACTCGAGCAACCTGATTTCGATCCCCGGTGCCGGCACCAATGAAGTTTTTAACTTTAAGTGCTGACTTATCACGTGCTCCGCAGTGATGGAAAACATCGTGAGGAAACCTGCATATTTTCGAAATAATAACAAAAAATATATATATTTCGAAGATATGTGAAGTCAGCCAATCCACAGTGGGGCCGCGTGGTTGACTATGCCCTGATACCCTCTGTTTAGAGGAGGCCTTTGCCCAGCAGCGTGACATATATAGGCTGTTACTTTACTTTACTTTTAACGATTTTATTAAGTCCTACGTCAGAGGTAGAGCACGCCACTGTTTCGAACACGCGACTTTAACATCGCAAGCATCACGTCCACTAAGTCATCGCCGTCGAATTTAAAATAAAGACAATATCTTTCATTAACATTAGTACAAAGGTCATCCTTTAAGCGATGCTTTCCATGATTAGTTCATGGAGAGCATCGCTTAAAGAGTTTCAACAAACAAACATTTCTACAAATTTTAATGTTGATTCTTGAGTGCAGAGATTAGCACTATAAAAATTTAAATTTCTAAAGAGCAATGGCGACATCTCTCTTTCGAATTATCGTTGTAAAACGATATTCGAAATTGTTTGTATGCTGGAAAGGATATAACAATGAAGGTGCCAAGCATTGCTTCAAATGCACACAATGTAGATAAGAGACGTTAAGATTTTCGTCGTTGTGGCAATCAGCCGTTTAGCTTAGTGGCTAAAGCGTCAGGCGAATGCCGAAGACGTAGGTTCGATACCTACAGCGGTGACAATCTTTTCGTACTTTTTCTAAGGATTTTAATTTTTAATTTTAGAATATACTTTATTGCACACATGGAAATACACAAATGGAAAATACAGGATAAATAGTATATATACATATGGGTGGTGTTACTGCTAGGGTAGTAATTTCTTCCAGGCAACCTCAATCTATAAAATTTTCATAATCCATAGCATTTTAAAATTCACGCCTCTCGCGGACTAGTCTCTCTATTACCTATTATCTTAACGGTCGTATGTACGGTCGTACATGAGAAAAATAGTTAATACAGAAGGTCTTCTGTATTAACTATTTTTCTCATTAAAATAGCATCAACTATTAAAATAGTAAAGTAAAGTATATTGGGCAAAGACTCCCTCTGTACAGAGGGTAATGGGCGTAGTCCGAAACGCGACCCACCTCGGCTTTGCAGACTCCAAACATCTTCAAAATATGCTAGTTATCATTTCGAAAATAGACATCTTGCCTCACGATGTTTTCCTTCACCGCAGTGCACGTGATAAGTCAGTACTTAAAATGGCAATTAACAATAACAGCTATTAATATGAAATTTGCTTTCTGATTACATTCCGTGACACATAAGTTGGGGAGGGCCGCACATGTGGCCATGATGGGTTATCTACTAGGTCATAGGTTTGAGATGGCACGTGGCACTGGCGATTGGATATGAGTTAAGTCGCCGCTTTTTCGTGTAACAACTTTAAAAGTGTCTTTTTCTCATTAAAATTGTAGACCTAGGCTGGTTTTATACTTCTTTTTTATTTTATTTTAAACAAAGCCACATGACTGAGTTAAAAATATAATATACATCTTACTTACTTACTAAAACTTAAATACAATCTGGATTTACATATTTACTTAGTATATTTTAATTACGACATTAAAAAGCAAACAACTTTTAATACTAAAAGAATAAGATACGTGAATTAAAAAAAGAAAGTTACGCAGATACAAAATCATGCAGAGGACTATGTCCAGCAGTGGACTAATAAAAATACAATTTGATTTATTATGATTTAGCACCATATCCAGAATCATCATCATGCCCAATGTTTTATAAAATTTTATAGCATCCAGTGATGTGTTTGTTTAGCTCTAGTTGTTGCTATGAAACCTTTTGGCTATCGTCATTTATTAGAAGACTAAAATTGACAAATCGAATAATACAATATGTAAACTCCAAAGTGTTTTACATATTTTTGTAAATAATTACGTTTTATC